TATGAGACTCTCAAATTGTTGGCGGGGGATGCTGTCCCTTCCTCTATTTTTTCCTCTCATTTTTCAAAGACTTTAAATCACAGTCAAAGAGGTGAAAGGTACTGTGGGAGCAGAAGGAATTCCTTTGTGTGCAGATGAAATGTTGCTGCAATGCTACTATGAGGTTTTTAGATTTTATTTTAATAACCAGGCCACTTTTGTAGCTGTAAAATGATCATACTAAATATTCCTTGTATTCTCCATTGTTTTGTTTACTACCAAAGTAGGATCTATCCCCAGAAATTACATTTCTAAGCTGCAGACATCTTCTTTTGTGCTAGTTAACCCTGGCTCTCTTTCCATAGTCAGGAGATAAGTATTTCAGAACTGCAGCAACTTCAAGGTAAATATTAGTCACTAGAGGTCAGAAAACTAACTTTTTTTTTAGTGCTTATCTGACTGTAAAAAAAGAGTGACTAACAAGAGCATGAATAGCTCATTTGTAACACTACATTTCAGAGATAACAATGTGGTAGGACAGCATTTATCTTTTGTATTGTGTGGTGTTTTGTTTTTTTTCCTTTTTCCCATGTGTGCACTTATCTCTCAGACTGGTACTTAGGAATTTTCTTTAGCTCTCCTGGTTAACAGTTTTCAATATGGGTGCAGTTTTCAATTTAAGACTCCTTTGTGTTGGCAGCAAGTCGGCTGCAATGCTGGGATGCCTGGGAAAAGGTGCTGAATCAGCCCACTCTTGGCATCTCCTCTTTTGGTGTCTCAGAAAGAGGTGCTTAGAAAAGCAGTTGATGAAAACCCCACCTTCCCCTTCCTAAGGCAGCTGTCCCACTTGCACGCAGCTGTTCTTTCTAACCCAGAGAATTAAATTGCAGAGTGTAACTTTTGCTAGCACATTGTGAAAATTTAAGTGGCACTGAAGACAGACTCCCAAAGACATGTGAGCCAAGGAAGCTTTCACCTTTGCTGGCCACAGGAACAATGCTTTGTGACGAACAGATCACATAGCTGATGATTACCAAGAGCCTCTTTGCTTGTAAGACGGGAACAACTCTCTTCTAGCTCAATTTTTTCTTTCCACTTTTTTTTTATTATTATTATTTTTTTCATATCCTACTGTTGTTCACTTACACCTTGACTGGATTTGTAAGACTGATTTAGTTGCTGTTTCTGTGGGAATAGAACGCTCAGCCATACAGAATGACATCTTGATTTCTTTGTGACAGCAGACAGAATCCATTACTCACTTTTACAGTGGTATGAAACCTACAGGAAGGTTTTTCTTAGGGCAACTCTACTAAAGTAGAGAACAAAAATTGCATGTAATGAGCAAGCTCTCTCCAAAGGGCAATTTGTACTGTAAATATTTAAAAGAGCATTTTGGTCTTTTGCATGAATCCACAGCTTATCCATTACATTAATACATTTTAATTTGGTTGAATCAAGTTATTTTTTTTCCTTCTCATTTTTTAACTGTAGAAATAATAGAAGAGAGGACAGAATCCCTAATCCAGGATACTCAGGTGATAGGAATGGTCAAGTACATACTGGCAGCTGGTGTCTGGGTCCAGTATCTCCGACCTAGTGGGACTAGTGTCTCGTTGAACTATCATATACCTAGATGTGAACATCTAAAGAGTCTTGTCTTGATCCAAAAAGAAGTAATAGCACCACCACCCCACAAGAAGAACTGTTTTCTAGTTGAAATTACCCTGAAGTCCCAGTGGTAGAGAGGAACTTCCGCACTCGGCTTTTCATCAGATGTATCAATTTTCTGTCTTCTCTGAGAAAATGAACTGATCTGATCGTAGTGTTTCAGCTCAAGGGTGTTCAGTAATAAAAATTAAAACCAATAGGCTATCAACCACCCCATCTATTCTGGGCTGCTTGGGAAGGATGTCTCTCCTGATTAGGTGGATAGATATGCTTTTTGGATGGAGAGCTCTTTGGTGTAGGAACCTAATCATTCTCCTGAAAAGTATCATGTTGGCTTTACTTCACCTGACAAAGTAACAGCAGACAAGGCTGGTTACCACTCAAAGCAAAAGGTGGTGCAGAGAAATGAGGGAGCACACCACATAGTTCCGTGGGGAGCAGAAGCTGCTGTGCCCTCCCTGCCACCCGCCTTCCCCAGCCTGCTTGAGAAAAGCCCCAAGCAAGTTGGTGAGAACAGGGTCCTGCTCTGTCCCCCTGACAGGAGCCAGGACCTTCATGATACAGCACAAAGCATCATTATTCAGCTGAGAAAACTTGCCTCACATGTGACAGTGTTGCAGAGCTCTGGCACCTGCTGGCTGAGTGGTCAAGGTACAGAGGGTGTAAGGTGTAGATTTCAGCACTTTGATAAATTGTTCTTGGTGCCAGGCTCTGGTACTGATCCCTAACCTCTTCTTCTGCCTTCAGCTCTACAAACATAATTAAAAGGTGTGCTTTTCTTAAAGAAAGATTTAGTGGTGTAATAGGTTCTTTAATAGATTCATATAGATTTAATGGCTCATTTACACATTGTTTAAAATGTAGAACTTAATTTGACTCAATATAATGTTATTTCTATAATTATACTCCTTGTTGACTGCTGAATCACTGAAATGCCACAAAGGAAACCTGTTTTTTCCTTACAACTTACTTGTTAACCATCCTTCCACAAACTGAGAGAAAAATGCCATTACTTTGACCCATTTTACATATGTTAGTTTGAAAAAGAAAATATTTTAATAAGTTCTAAACATGAAAATAGTGCCAACTATTACTATATGGAACCAGAACTGTTAGACTTGTGGACTTTTTGCCTCCTTTAAGCACAGTAGTTCAAACACAGCCATTAGCACAAATTGCTTTAGCTTAATGTAAATACCTAAAATCAGCAGATGGTTGGGCTAGAAATTATGTATTTCCTGACCCAATACCGAACGCTCTGTTTCAGCTGGAGATGTTGACTGAATGCCATAAAAACCTGAAGACTAAATTGCAGTTCTAATATTTGACAGAGCTTCATGCATCATTGCTGTTTTGTAATATGTATATACTGCATTTTTTATTCAAAAGTAGCCTGCTTCTCAGTGATCAAATTTGAAATCTGTGATACAACTGAGAAGGATTCCAGACTAAACCACTAAAGATGGAAAACTGGGGAAAAATACATATAGATTTATGGGAAGAAAACACTGTTGAATCTCATTTATATAAATGCAAACCACACTCCAAAACTACTAGCATATCGAAATTGGCTATGACAGCACTCCTGTGTTAAATTTAATCATCTTCAGAATGAAATTCTCAGCACTCAGCAATGAGTGTCGTCCTGGAAGACCACAAAACTTGAAAGAACTCCATACTTTTAGTCATGTTACTGCAATATATTCTTTTTATTTATTATTGTCTCAGAGGAAGAATGTTACAATGTAGTGTTTGAAGAAGCATTTACTTGGCAGCAGAGGACAAAGGATGCATACGAACACAGGCAGAAAAACAACTTTGTACATAACCTCATATTCAGAACAAAAATAAAAGCCAACAAATTCACTACTAAGACCTTTTTTTATTATGTAGGAGGATTTTAAGGATTCTTTGTCTAGAAAATGACACAGCTTGATAAAAGCAAAGGACTTTGCAGAGAACAGAATATAAAGCTGTTTCCAATACTACTCATGAAAATAGGTCTGAGGTAGAAAGGTGGTCATGGCTTTCCTCTTCTGTAAAATGTGGGGTTTCTTCTTCTTAAAATAACTACCCTACTTTTTTTAACACATGAGGCATTTTTAGGAGCCAGCATCTTCTCTTCCCACCTTGACAATTTTGCTCCACTCACTTTCACTATAAGAAATACTACATCGCATTTATATAGAGCTTTTCAGACACTAAGCAAGCCCTACAACACCTTTTGAGAGGTAAGTACTATCATCCCCATTTTACAGATGGGAAAACAGAGGCAGAGTGGTTAAATAATTTGCCAAAGGGTTCAGACAGAACTGGCACTGGAGCCAATGCTAGAATGCAGTCAATGCAGTGCTCAAATCACTCCTTGAGCAGCAGAAGTTGAGGAGTGAGAACTGTGGGAGGAGGACGGTCTAGTTGGCACCACTTCACAAAAACACCAGAAATTCTTGACCTGCTGTCTTAATGTCCTCCACCATTTTTCAGTAGCAGTAGAGAATTTATAACTTTTCCAATACCATTTTGAGATTGTTTTTCTTCAGTAATAATTAAGAACAACACAGTTTACTTTCTCTCCACTATACATGAAATACATTGCATGCAGTTTTACCAATTAAAGATATGTCCTGAAATTAAAGCAAGTGTTCATGCAGCATTGTAAACTCTGCAAAGGCATTAAAATCTCTTATGATAATTTAAAAACTAGAGATCAGCTGATTGGTGACATAACTTTCTCATAGTTATCCCTACTTGAAGTACATAAATAAATTATTTCAAAGAGAAAGATAAGTTGCAAGATCACAATGCCAAATGATATCCAAGTGCATTGCAGTTTTGAAGGAAAGGTTCCATCGCTAATAGTATTGGAAAGGGCTTTCTAATTGTCTCTTCATTTCCAAGACACAGACAAAAGACTGGTGTGTTCAGATCATCAGAAGGAGATTTCAGGGAAATGAGCTGTACATCACAGACTGTAAATTCCAAAACTTGAAGCAAGTTTGGCACAGCAAGGAACAGCAAAGCTTTGTTTCTGAACAATGTTGGGAAAGATTACACTAATTCAGACCTTACTAAAAACAACTGAAACTATCATTTAAGTCCTCTTTTTAGCTATCTCCCAATTCAAAATAAAATAAGGCTTAAAAACATAATCCTCCAAATGGAGTGTGTTGGCTGGAAATAATGAAAAGAAAGTTAAAAATATCATCTTTGTGCATGAGGCTGTTATGACTCAAAATGAGAGTTTACCTTGTTTAATGGAATTGTTAAAATACTGTAGCTTGCAGCCAACGGCGATTTTTGTTAACTAGTAACCATAATGCAGATTATGGGAACTTCATATGCCAACCCTAAAAACAATTAAAGGGTAATCTGGGATCTGCGTGGTCAGATGGTTAGCATATAAATAATCATTACAGAATATTAAATGTTTGAGAATATAACTAAGAGTATCTTACAATGTAAAAGCAAAGAGCTGAAAGGAATGTATAAATGTAACATTTTGCTCCAAACTCCTCAGGCAGTTCTCTTTACGATTATCAAAAAGAACGTATATAAAGCCCCTGCCCCTTTTCCCGTGGCTGTATATTTATACAAATCAGTGACAAATACTCCACTGCTCATTAATTTACAGTTGCATAGAAAGGGAAGAAGAAGAAAAACAACAATACTATAAAAAACAACATCCTTGTCTTTGGGTATTCAGTGTTTTACTATTTCAAGTAGAACACACAGAGCAAACAGCATGTTCCAAGGTCCCACGCAGCCTTCTGATGAAGTGGAACTTGCGATCGGTGGTTTGTAGAGAAGGGCTGTAACTGCACATTGGGAAGCACAGGTTGATGTCCAAATGAACACTTCACATTGCCTGTCATGATGAGAAATAACCATGTCAGTACCACATTAACGCGCACAGAAAGCTCTAAATACTCCAAGCTTGGTTCAGTTAAGGACTCTGATGTCATTTCACAAAAAACCCCTGTGTTTTAAAAATTCAGATGTATTGGCCCAAGACTCAGCAAATTGCTGAGAAATGTTGTTAAGAAAAACTTAATTTTACTATACTGCAGTGTTTAGAATTCTTTCTGAGTAAGACCCAAAGGATGTTATGTCTACAGAACAGTTAATACAACTTACAGACTCTCCATGTTCTACACCCACAGGGAAGAAAAAAAAAAAAAAAAGGCAAAATACTGTCCTATCTGAAGCCTAAGTGTTAAAAATGGAGAATACACAGGGTCTGGATTCAAACGCAGCCTCTTAAAATGTGATGCTTATTTCCAGACTGTGTCAGGATTCTGTTCTCTGTAAAACAGAAAAATGTGTCTTCTCTTTTGGTTCTGGAAAGGTAGACTTGCAGTGTGAGACCATTCACAAATCATCTGTTACCTAAAAACTCAAAACACTTTTTCAGGAAGATCAGTATTATTCACTGAGATCGCTGAAAGCTATCGCTATGCCTGCTTAGAGGAAGGATTGCTGAAAAATGCTTATTTAATTCACTACTGCAACTTATTAAGAGACCAGAACACAAAAGTCTGCGTTAACTGAGTGCAGGGCATGATTCATCCCATTCTCTTCCCTGCTTGGGAAGCCAATCCTACTATCCCAGATTCTAAAAACCAAGACAGTATTTGCAGAGCAATTTTTAGGTATTAATTTTGGGGAGGTTTGACCTTGTAAACAAGAACAAGGTAAAACAATTTGAGGGAGTAAATATATTCTTCTGAAGACTCACACAGAAATTTCTGGTAGTCTTTAAAACTTATTTAACAATGAAACTTAGAAAAAACTCTGCAAAGACAGAAGACTATGTTGTTCCTTATTTGTCCCCTACATGTGCCTTAATATCAACCTAAACCTATAACTATTATTTCTCAAATTTCTGTTATAAGATAAATTTACTTGACCATTCAAACCAGTTAGATTTTCAAAAACAAGTTTCAAAATGCCAGATTGTTTTCCATATTTTTGTGAACTCTAAAAATAGGCACATTTCTGGTTCAGGTCTGGAAAGTGGTCACCTGTTGGGAGAAGGCATTAATCCAATGCTTAATGCTTAAGATGCTGTGTGGCTCTTGATCCTTCTGACTTGATGCCTGTAGCTCCTGAAACATGACCTACGAGCACCAGGGCACAAAGAAACAGGGATATATTTGCAAGAACCAGTTTTGATCTTGCAGAGCTGATGCTGGCTTGAAATGAATTGACCCTGATAGATTCAAGCTGATTCCATCTGCTCAGCATCCAGAACTGCATACCATAGTACCTTTGGTAATGCCTGAACTAGCAGGAATTTTCTGTTAACTGGGATACTCCAACCTTCCTTTTAAATTGGTCTAGTTTCCAAATAGATCTCTAGGAAAAATATAGGAAAAAACTTGGCCACTTTGCTTTAATGGAACTTTCCCACTTGCTTTACTTTGCTTCCAATGACTATGGAAATATGCAAGCATGTCTCGTACCTGCGGTCTGCCAGTGAAACTTGCTGCAAACAGAAAAAACAAAAGTTAGAAATCTACATGATTCTGCATCTTGGCAGTTTAAAAACAAAGGCAGTGTCAGGAAAATATGTACTACAAAATAACAGAAACACTCCTATCTTAAAAATATAAACATTTAACTAGAAGTGTGTTGTAATGGTCTATCAATAACTTTCTTCATAAATTTCATTTTCTTGTAATAAATGTATAGCATTATGAATATACAGATTATATAAATTGTTCCTTTTTCACCACTTGTCACCATATAGACCTCTGACTGCTGTACTACAATACCATCTACTACAAATACCTGTATAAGTCTGAGGACCAACCTCATAAATAAGGAAGGAAAAGAGGCATTATATCCATAATCAAAGGATCTGGGGAATAAAAAAAACAAACAACCCTGCCATTAAGAGTGGTGCTGGCCATACTCTGTGAATAACTGCTTCATAAGGGTATTTAGAGTAAGTAGAAATACTGATTTCAAGATGAATTGTAACTTGAAACCCATAGAAAGAAGACAACATGCTCTTATATACAGTTAAGACAGGATAAAAATAACGTATGTTAGGCTCAGATGCTGGTAACTGTCCTTAATGAAAGCTATGGCCAAAGTAGACCAGTACTGATGAGGTGATGAAAATTAGCTCCCTTTTTTTTTCTAAATAAATAAATATAGTATGTTGAACATGAAGGCTATTCTAATAAAATTAAATGTAAGCAAAATTTAAAAAGGGTATTATTTTTTAAGATTAGGCATACAGGAATGCTCTTAAAATAGATTGCCTAGGGAGTTCCTGGAGATTGGGTCATTGGAAGCCTTAGAGAACAGGTTAAACGACTGTTCAGAAAGACAGATCCATCTCAAACACCCACAGGAAAAGAATATGGACTAGATGATGTGTCACGGTGCTCCCTAGCAAAATTCCTGGCACTCTTGGGGAGGCCAGACTAGTAATTCTCATTCCAGGCTTCTAAAACTGTATATAAATCTTACCTGGTTAAAAAACTACATTCCTAGTAAACTTCCCATGTAAAAGATATTACAGAATGACTGAAGAAAAGCAAAGATAAGTGGTACCTACTAATTGGGATGTGCTGGTTTGGTTTTATTTCTGCAGCAGCATGTCAATGACAAGCACAAAGGATCACATGAAATTTGGAGCTATGACTTGTTTTAATCTTAAATGCTCAAATATGCATCACAATATGAAAAAATGTGATGCCATGGTTTTCCCTTGCAGTCCCCTCCTGCCTCATTCAGGGTATTGATTCATAGATATTAAGATATGGGGTTTTTTTCATGTTTTTTTGGTTGAGAGCAGTCACCATTATTAAGCTTGCCCTGACATAGGAATGTAAGGGAGTATGTCTACTACTTTGCTGTAAATTCATTTGGGACAACTCTCCAGTAGCTGCTGTACTTCTTATGAATGCAAAATAGGAATGTGCAAAAACACGGGCTGATACTTGATTTGAATTTTTTACTGATTTGTAAATACACACACACCCCTGAATTGTGCTGAGTAGCTCCACTAGCTGTTGACTTCAAGAAGAGATGTTCCTTAGAATAAAAGCCCTAGATTTGCAAAGTGATGGGCTCTGAACTATTGAACCCACTGAGAATGTCTAGGGACAGCTGAAACCAAACCTCTTCTGCTAGATCCTAATTTGGCTTTTCAAAATGTGCAAAGTGCACCTTCTGTGATGCAGTTCTTCACAGCCAAGCAATATACACGCAAGAGATAAAAGGGGTATTTTAACAGGCACCACTGATTTTACAAAATATAATAAAAGTTCAGTCTTGATGCTGTCAAAACAATTCCCTCTTGGTTTTGCCTTTTAAAACTGATGGTCATTACATTTCATGTGAAAGAACTGTTGAAATTTTAAGAACATATAAAAAGTTTTCACTGTTTTTCTATGGCAAAAGAGCTGAAGATACATGTGTATGCATGTATTTTTAAAAAAAATTGGCTGAATAATAAAGTAGCCACTTCACCTCCCTGCCAAAAAAACTGTCTGTATAAAACATTGCTGCAACCAGAGAGATAGTTCCTCACTCCTCTAAGTGCAGTGGTACTCTGGAAGGAATAGGACAAGTGGAACTGTATGTCACCTGATATAAGCCATGAATATAAAATTAATGGATTTTCCTTTTGATCTCTATTTAATAGATACTGAATAAAAGATCAACTTTCAGTGCATTTAAACAGGGAAAGGTGTTACATGCCATGTTAACAGTTATTTCCCCTGTTGAATCAGTTCAGTAACTAGTTCAATAATTTGTTAAGGCAGCCAGGATCAGGCTATGGCCCCTCCTGTCGCCTAAGGCCTTTTTCCGAGTTTTGTTAAGAGAAACAGCATTCAGGCTTTCTCAATCTACATTCAATTAAGTTCTACATAAGGTTTACATCACCAGCAAATGGGGCTCTGGATCTGTATTCCCTTATTTAAAACATGAGAATATTTGTTTCTTTCCCTTCAAAAGTGGTGTCTATTGAGGACCATTAAAGAAATAATAATGGATCTTGCATACCTTGACAAAAAATCTTTCAGAGAGATTTTTTTCCTAGTCAATACCATAAAAGTGGCTTTTTTCTTCAAAAGACAGCCTCAAATCCAATACTATTCTGAGAGACACATTTTGTTAAACTTACAGCAGCAGGCTGGAAATGTGCTGTTGATTTGCTCCATAACATCTGTTAGATCTGTGTTGGTATCATGAGGTGGAACTAACAAGTCATCTGCAGATAGGACAACAAAAAAGAGCAATGAATTTTGTAATGAGAAGATTAAAAAACAGGATGACAACAACAACCTGAAAGGCATTCTCATTCCACCTTCCCGTTAAATACTCCTTTGTATTTCAAGAGAAACCACTACCTGAAGCTTTTGTAACATCATGTATAGGAACCATCATTGATAATTGCCAGCCTTGGGAGAGGACATTAAAGTAAACATTACTGATTTGCAGCAGAACTCATTTCACTTTTATTTGAGCTTAACCACTGCACCCAAGATTTAAACTGAAAAAATGCTGCCAAAAAGGAACAGTATATAAACATTTACAGTTAAAATAAATAAAAGTTTTACAAGATGAGGGAATTGTATTTGGTAGCTGCTCAATTAATATTCTGTTCCATTTTCAGATGATTTGTCATGTAACTTCCCAAGTAAATATATCATTCTTTTCTGAAAAAAAACATTTATCTTTTAGATGGTGTTTAATCAATATGCACCAACAACTTCACTAGTGTTAAAATCCTCCTTGCCATTTTGTTTTTAATGCTGCTTAAAATTAATCCAAGGGAATGGCTAGGGAATGCAACTGGCTCTGCTCCTGGCAGTGTTATTACACAGCATTTCTCATAAATCTACCATTGCATTAAATCAGATTCAGAGATGTTCCATGTTTTTCTAGATAAATTAAAGTAAACCCTCATGTAAATGCTAAATGAAAGCTTTTCAGTATGTAAGGAAATATTTGCCTTGTTTTCCACAGAAATAAAATCATTTTTCATCTATAACATAAAGGCTTGAAAACCAAATCAGGGAGGAAATTACATTTAAGATAATTTGAGATAATTTTCCCCTAATTTTGAACATCTAATGGTCTGTAGTTATTTCTGCTAATTCCCAGTGGAATTAATGAGTTCTGATTTAAGAGAACTTAAAATAATCTTTGAAGAGAAAAATCTCTTCATGTGCAGAGGCTGTATACCTAAACAATTCCTAAACTCAGTAATTCCTAAAGATGTGAAGTCTTTGGGGTGTGAAGTCATCAAAATACCAGGACAAGCAGAGGATACACAAGAATTTTTAAAGCAGCTACCAAGAAGCTTCAATTACATGTTTTGGATATTTCTTTCTGTATCTGAAAGATTACTTGGTTGGCTGCTTGTACTGTAGGACAAACAGCTGTTGGCCATTTCGGTTCAGTAAGATCTCATTTCCTTTTCAATGAGGATGGATTTGCCCAGTAAATTAATTTGCTCAAAATGGATGGGACCAAGAAGTCTACTGATAGAACTCCATAATCCAGAGTCACATGGATTCTCATGATACTGCAGCTGTTTGTAAGTGTAGGGAGGCAAAAGCTCCAGCTGTGGTAAGTCTCGCTCCTAGTAGCATCACAAAGATAAGTTTATTTTTATTTACAAATCTTTTCAAAAAGATGCCAACAAACGTATTCAGTAGTCACCTATAGAGGCACACAGCACATTATCTGCTCAAAACACTTACCTGTCTGATGAAACTGTGAGCTTGTCTCTTGCTCGAGTGGGTAGCTGAGGGCAGAGTGCTGTGGTGATGAACCATTAAGCCGGGAGTCTGACTCAGGCTACACAAAAAACAGTAACAGTCAAATTTAGATAAATTGTATATACAAAAATTAAGTGTGGGCTTGTATGCTGTCATCCCATTCTTTTCCTTTTTGAGGTGCTCTATCTTGTTTGCTCTCCAAACTACTGAAAGTTGGTTTAGATCTATACAGCTGTTAGGGGGAAAAGAAAAACAAACCAACAACTTGTTAAAAGGAAATTTGGAATTAAGTGGAATTCTTATGAGGCTCTAAATTGCAGGAAAACTATGAACTATGTAATCAGAAAATAGTAAGAAGGAGGCCATATACTTCAAAATCTGTGTTGTAGGTAAGCCTTTCTGGACTCTTAAATTCACCTGAAGAATCAAACACATGAAGTTGTACATCACGTTTAGTTGTAACCAAGTATATGCTTGAGATTATGTTTAAGTATACACATATGGACATGAAATAAGAGCATAAGACTTCTTCACTATAACAACTCAGAAATATTGTTCAGGCATTTTTTCACTCTTTTCCCTCTTTCTTGTAAAAATGCTTTGAGGAACAGAGTAGTAATACAGTATTTGAGGTTCACAAGTTATGAAAAAAACCCCAGATACATGTGTAACAGTATTTATCTCTGAGACATCCTTAACAAATTCAATGGTTGCCCCTATAATTTATCTTTTTGATTGTAAATCATTAAATTGCTTCTGAACAGCAGACTGTTTAAGTAAATCTGTCAAACACAGATACAACTGTAATAAAAACTATCATTACTTTTGAGATCTTTTTGAAACAGAGATTGACCAAGTACTTAGAACAGCTGTGAGACTCAATGCAAAGAGAATATATACAGAATGGCAGTTAATTTGTGCACAAGTTTGCCTCTTTGCAGCCCACAGCCTTAAGCACAACATTCAATTCTTTGAGAAACTTCCACTTTAAAAAATAAAATAAAATCTTCAACAGAATCGAAGATTGTTGAACAATGAAAGATCCTTTTTCTTCCATACACAGTAGTAGGAAATAGATGTTCCCTTGAGCACTCAGCAAATCTTTTTTCTCCTCCAAATCTCTCTTTCAGCATGACAATACCAACTTCCAGCTTTGACTAAAAGAATACATCAAGAAATACGGTTCTGCACTCAGAAGAAAGATAGAAATGTTTTCAAGCCAGCCAAGGATTTTACAGTCAATGCCTATCACATAGTTAAGTAATTTGCTATTCAATATCAGGGTTCAATCCAGCTACAGGGTTTGGGTAAAATGAATGTGGTGATTTTAAATAGGTGAAGCTTGGGTTACCTAACCCCAGGTAATTCTGTATAGCCAGGCACTTGTGTTCAAGAAGACTTCAGTGCTATAATGGTAAAGAGACGAAGGAAACTCTCCCAGGGTTAAGACAAGGCTAACTCCAGCAGCAGAGTGGCTGCTTGTCATCCAAATAGACATTAAATGTCCTTCATAATAGGTCTTACTTCTACTTTGTGCATTTAGTATCTTAAAGGACTGAAGAAAAGGAAGGGTCAAAGGATTTTTTATGGTTTTTTCTCTATATGATTAACATGTTCGTAACAAAGTTGCCACATGCCAGTTCTGTTTCACCTTCCTTTGGCACTACAATCAATCAGGCAGACAAAAATGACAGCATGTGACAGCTACAAATCCTTTGGGCTTGCTAAAATAAAAACAGTACAGTAACCTCAGAATTGTAACCTGAATAGGCAAATGTACAGCGAGGATGCATGCGTATTTCTGCTACAGGTGCTCCCTAAAGAATGTGTTAAGAATGTTCATCTGCATTAAAAGTAACTACACGAAAGTGTCTGATTTTCATTAATTTTCTACCCAAATATCTGTGTGTAGACAGACTCACTGTATATTTTAGAAAAAAAAAAAAAAAAAGTAATACTATTTTAAATTCAGTGGCAAGTTATTAACCCCAACAACAATCAGGAGGCTGACTGCAGAAGAGAAAAGGAGAGATTTGCTGGTGATGGAAAAGACAGAGATGGCATAAAATGCCAGTCAGGGCCAAAAATTCCTGTAAACCAGTTGTGTTCTTTAATGCCAGTATTTATTACTATTACAGAATTTACAGAGTTGTTATATATTCTAGCTCTTGGACTTAGGAGAATATTTCATGCAAATCACCCATCTCATTAATTAGAAAAGGTATTCCTTATATTCCTATACTTGTATCTGATAACAAAACAAAAACAACAAAAAAAATTGGACAGCAAATAAAAGCAAAAGAAACAAGTAAATGTACTTTGATCCTCAGCTGGCTTCTGATAATGTCCTTCCCAAGCAGTGAAAGTGGTAAAGACTTTCACAGACTGTGGACGGCCTGGGTGACAGAAAAACGAACATGATTAAAAAAGATGACTTTTTTCAGAAAGCTAATGGTGCAGTAATGGGATTCAGTGCTGCTTCATAATTGTAATAATGTTAAAATAAAGAAGTTCCAGAGAATATATACCAAAAAGTTTCATTATTTATAACTTCTGAATCCCTTTTAGGGGAGTAGCTTCAGCATCCTTGGAGAGAGCTTGCAAAAAAAACCTTCTAAGTGTCAGGTCAAAAAGCCCTGCTAAATAAAGTAAGGATACATTTACAAAGGCATATTGAAAAGTCACAGACCTATTATAAAAACTACAATACAGACCTTCTCATGTACTTGACTAGGTACCAGCCCCTCCATTAAGAGACAGAGGAGAAACAGGAACAACTTTGGGAAAGGCACTTGGAACAATCAGAAGCACAGCATGATTGCCACAGAGGCAGGAGATTTTGGACAGGAAACAAAAGAGTGACAGAATACAGTAAATGAGGTGTAAATCATCAGAAATATTGAAAAAGGTCAACTCTGTTCTACCTTAGCTTGTCAGAAACCACAAGCTGGAGAATACAAAGGCAGAACCTAAAAGAAGAAACTAATCCCTCCCTCCACCTGCCCACTTTATCACAACACATATGTATGTATGTCCTGGTTTGAGCCAGGATGAAGCCAATCTTCCTTTTACTGATTTTTTGTTGCCTTCAGTAAGCTTTCCTTTAACGAGTAGCAGAGCGTTCCAACTCAGATAACAGTAGAATATTTTTCTAGCTGCTGGGTCTTCAAGGTCACATCTTTACTCTGCCAGCTCAGACACTACGGGGAGATCTATGACCGCCCCGCAGGAGGCTGAGTTAGACAGACAGCAAAACCGGCCAGAGATATTCCATTCCATATATCTACATAAGCTCAGAGGAAGGTCAGAGACCACAGAAGACAACTTCCTTCCTGCTTCTTCTTCCCTTCTCTTCCATCCATCACCGCTGACTCCCAGGCTTGAGCTCTCCTGACCCTCCTCACTCTGTGCTCTCTCCAGCAGCTCTGAGACTTTTTGGGACTGTCCCAGCTCAGGGGAGTGCTGGGGGAGCTGCTGGGGGTGGCGGGGGCGAGAGGCTTTTGCACATATCTGAACACATTTGTATAATTGTATATATTTTCTTATATCATTAGTGTTTAATTAAAGCTGTGAAGTTTAGTTTTCTATTGAGTAAAGTCTCTCTTTCTCTCTCTCCTTCCATACTTGAGTGGCAGGGGGAGGGGATCGAGAGCATTGTTGTCAAACCTGAGTCAAACAATGACAGCCCTAAAGGTCTTAATAAGAACGTTAAAAGGATACCAGAAAGATTGCAACAGTATGCTATCCACACCTACGTTAGAAAAAAAACAAAAAATGTAAAGGGTGAACAAGTTCCTGCTTCAAGGACTAAGCTGCAAGTGACTATGTGTTTGGCAGAACTTCTGTGTTTCTATGCTACAGCTGTTTCTTTACATATTTTAAGCCCCTCTCCCTAACAACTAATATAGGCCACAGTTCTCAAGATACTTCACGAATGACTGTTAATAGTTGCTTTGGTTATCATAAATATTAAAGTTTCTCAAATACTTTTAAACGATGCTAGAATGACAGTAACAACAACAAAAACACTCTGCTAGAGGGGCAGGGAAGCCTTTGGAACAGATGCATCAATGCTATTCAGCCAAAACTCCCTAGAAAAATTACAAAGTCGATCAGCCAGTGAAACAAACAAAAATTGTCTTTAGCACTGTAATGAGAGTATCATCTACAGCAGGAGCTTATGCCATTCTGATACCTGGCTTATGTGGTCTGTTTCTTGCCTTAGTTAAATCCTCTATTATGTACAGCCAGCCATCTGACTCATCAAAGGCAGGAATTACTTGGCTTTCTGTATTCACACCCAAGTATAATGAATAGATAGAAGAAAACATATATACAAATGTCTCTTTATAATCCAAGCTTCCACACATGGTGTAGTACAAACTAACATGTCTAACAACACCTTGTAGATATTGCTGTTATTTTTATAACATGGATGTGTATTTATTGGCTTCAAAAACAACTGATATTATCTTCCCCCAGGAAAGAAAGCTACTAGTTACTGACATTTGCTAAAAGGCTCTTGCCTTCAGTATATATTCGTGTGCAGAACATTCTGCTGCAGCTTATTTGTCTAAATATGCTACTCAAGAGGAACTCAGTTTTAATGGAATTAATTGTTCCATTGCATATTAAAAAAGGTGGCCATCTGTCTTTGGCATGCTAAGAAAGGTGACTAACTGTGACAACAAATAAATTATTTAAGGAAAGACTAGAAAACTGGAGTCAAATACAGGTTATGACTGGCACTATTACTTGGAAGAGGGTATATATTTTCTTCCCCCTGCTTTTTTAATTAATGAAAAACTATTGCACTTGTTTGTGTTACTGTCAATGTTTTGGAAGTTACCTTGATCACCTCAGCACCTGTAATAGTCTTGTGCTCATTTGACTTTGACCCTGGCTTGTAACAGAGGGTAGGAAAAATTAAAATCTCTTCATCCTAGAAATGACTGAGTACAACAGACCAAGCTAGTGTGGTGAAAATACCTACAGTAAAATTCTAATGTCTTGTTCCACCAAGAAATCCATCATACAGAAACAATATGTGCAAATCTACCTGCTCAAGCAGCTGCCGTAGCCGGTGAAGCTGAGACTCCAATTGCTTATTGTGATCTTCCAATATCTGCATCCTTGCTTCCAGGCGCCCTTTATGTTGCCTCAAGAGTTTAGCTTCAGCTATGAGCTCAGCATCTTCCGAAGCATGCTGAGGTGACACAATGGACTCAGGAGGTGATGCAAGAGGGTTTATTCCTCTCCGAAGATGTTGCTCCTTTAGTTGCTCATATTCTATCTGCAGACTCCTGGTACATTGAAAAGAAGATAAGAATGATGATTTAAGCAAAAAGGAGTGGCTGACACACCAGAAGGCTGTGCTGCCATTCAGAGAGACTTAGATAGGCTGGAGAGTTGGGCGGGGAGAAACATGATGAAATTCAACAAGGGGAAGTGCAGAGTTTTACATTTGGGGAAGAACAACACCATGTCCCAGTACAGGTTGGGGGCTGACCTGCTGGAGAGTAGTGTAGGTGAAAGGGACCTGGGGGTCCTGGTAGACAGGAGGATGACCATGAGCCAGCAATGTGCCCTTGTGGCCAAGAAGGCCAATGGCATCCTGGGGTGCATTAGAAAGGGTGTGGTTAGTAGGTCAAGGGAGGTTCTCCTCCCCCTCTATTCTGCATTGGTGAGGCCACATCTGGAGTATTGTGTCCAGTTCTGGGCCCCTCAGTTCAAGAAGGACAGGGAACTGCTCGAAAGAGTCCAGCGCAGAGCTACAAAGATGATTAAGGGAGTGGAACATCTCCCTTATGAGGAAAGGCTGAGGGAGCTGGGTCTCTTTAGCTTGGAGAAAAGGAGACTGAGGGGTGACCTCATTAATGTTTACAAATATGTAAGGGGTGAGTGTCAGGGGGATGGAGTTTGGCTTTTCTCAGTGATGACCAGTGATAGGACAAGGGGTAATGGGTGTAAATTGGAGCATAGGAGGTTCAAGGTGAATATCCGAAAAAAATTTTTTACTGTAAGAGTGACAGAGCACTGGAACAGGCTGCCCAGGGAGGTTGTGGAGTCTCCTTCACTGGAGACATTCAAAACCCACCTGGATGCGTTCCTGTGTGATGTACTCTAGGTGACCCTGCTCTGGCAGGGGGGTTGGACTAGATGATCCTTCGAGGTCCCTTCCAGCCCCTATGATTCTATAAAAAACTTCCTTAGATAAAATGCTATGATCAGCTCCAAACACAGGACACAAGTAGCTCCTAAAAAGGCAATGTCTTGACTTGCAGTTTACAGGAAGACATCCTAGACTACAAAGCAGAGTTAAACTAAGTTGTTTTGTTGCGGACCTACTGGCCCTACTACCTAACAGTCAGGGTACACACAGCATATGCCTTGATTGGTGTTCTCCCTTTTTTTTTTTCCCCAAAAACCATGACTCCTAGGTCCATCTCTTCTCATTTCGAGCAGCTATACATAGTACACACATGGCTCAAACAACAATGAGGTGACACTTCAGACAGTGGGTAGGATGATTCTGAGACCTTTGCTCTTCCTCGAGGTCAGCAATGATGCGCTCCAACTCTCCTCGCTCTTCCTTTTCCACCGACTTGAGTATCTGAGCAGGACTCTGTGGCTGACTCACAGGAGACTCTCCTCCCAGCGTCTGACAGTACTGCTGGATAAGGGCATGCTCGTCCTCTCTAGAACAAGAAAACAACACAGATAAAGACAGAGCAGTAACACATTTATCACGTGAGCAAACACCTTCGTCAAGCTGAGGGGTTTTGTTGGCATGTTTATCAAAAAGGACTGAAAGAGCAGGAAATAAGAATCTAGTGTTTGTCAGATGTGTGTCTCAGAAAACTGTATCAAAATTTTTATGAGTCATTTCTAAAAAATATTCTGCAAAAAAGATATAAACAAGTAATACATGGGAAGAAGAAGATTGATCTGTGGTAGTGTAAAAGACCAGTTTATTTTAATGTATGTAATAAAGAACAAATGCTGCTGGTGGTTCAAAAAGAAATAGTGAAAGCAAGACTCTGAGATAATATAAACCAAAAATAACTTATTAGAAATGCCTTAAAATAAACAAAACCAAACAAGCTATCCAGTATTTATACTTTTTCTTTGGATCCTAACTAGATAATTTTGGTGTGCTCAATTTACCTATTAAAATTAAAGAGAAGGAAATCCACAGTATTCTCCAAGAAGTCAGAGCAATGGAACATCAAGTATCTATCTAATGCTCTGCATTGCACAAAGAGCCTGATAATGCTGCAAAAATAATGCTATGGGTTTGGAATTAGCATTCTATATCCAAATTTTTTTATTCTGTTTTGCTATATACACACAAGATTCCTTGAAATTCTTCAAGGGTAGTAGATACTCTCCTCCTTATAGATGCAGGGGTAGAAATCAACTGTCCTCCTTCTGACTTGCATAGAAATTACCTTTCAGTAAGGAGACATGGAAGTCCTGACACTTTCAATTATGCTATAAAGTCCAAATGAGTTTGCTTTTTAATGTTGTGCCTTTCTTCCCCAGTTTCTGGCTTTTCTCCATAATAAAGTCAGATGGATAGAAAGTGAAGGACACCATGTCCTAAAAATAGTTTACTTGCTTGCTTACTCAAGGTGGATAAATCAGCAGCAAAGAAACCTACTACTCATTTTTTTACAAGAGAAATTGACACAGCAGTATGAATGCTCAAAAAACCCCTCCTTAAATTCTCTTCTTTGCTTGACTACAAAACAGAGACAGCATACTTTGTGATGCTCTGAAGCATTGCTCCTATGAACTTTAACATAATGTTCTTCTACAGTTCAAGCACAGTCAACAACAGATAGAAAACCATATGAGCAGTATGTATACACATATTCAGATATCATTTAGAAAAGAGACTTTTTCACATGCCATGCAACTAAATTTCAACTGGCTCCTTCAAATTCAGTCTATACAGAATGATTACACCATGCTCATTTTTAACTGCATTTAAATAATAAGAATAGAGCTGAACTATAATCCTAAATTCCCACTGTTCCAGAGGTAGGAGATTTTTTATTAAAAAATGGCATCCAAACACCATAGGTCTTATTCCCTGCAATAGTTTAAGTCTGAACTTCAAACCACACTTCTTCAGAATTTTGTATTTCAGTACTTTAGTATGTACCTTAATGAAAACAGGCAATATTATCTGCAAATAAAACAAAGGGTGCCACCTGGTAAAGAAGTTACTTTCTTGTCCTCACTGGCCTCTAACTCTGCATTTTTTTTTTTTGTGTAACAGTCCCCTTTTGAAAACAGGTCTGAGACCCAAATTCAGGACATGTTGGTACTGACGTTCACCATGTTCATTCTTTTCCTTTAAATATAGGTCTTCTTTTATAGGTGAGAGGGAAAATTGCATTAAAATCAATAGCTAATTGCCAGTAAAAATTGAGCACATGCATCTGGGATGAACAGTTTGGTCTTTGTATATGAGTAGACTCATGTGCAAAATAAACAACTCAATCAAGTGTATGAGCATTTAGCTGCTTTCAAGTTTTCAGCTTTCTCTGCCAAATGACAGTGTGTTTGCTCTTTTTTTGTTGTTGTTTTTGTTTTGAAGAGAAATCAAAAGGGAATAGTTTGGCTGTATTTCTGTCATTGGTGAGCCTACCAATGACAAAAAAACCCACAAAAACAGTTAAAAATGAAAAAAGTTTTATTAGTTACATAAAAAGAGTTAATTAGACAGGACACAGGAAACATTTAAAGATGATCACTAGTGTTTCTCTGAAGAAACAGATTTTGAATCTCAAATTGTTAGTATATTCATAGATAGAATAATGTCATTATTATATTTTTAAAAACTAAGTGAAAAGGTTACTGAGAAAAATAGCATTTTCTAACTAATGCTGAACAGTTTCTGTTTCCCCTTTAAAAAAGCTGGTAACATACTTTCACCTTAAAAATATTTAATTAATCACAAATCCAAGGGCTTCTGTGTTTTGCAGGTTCATCAATACATTTTAATGAAGGCTTTTACAATAGAAATGACACATCATTCGAAAAAGAAAGTATCACTGCTAAAATTATTATGGAACTATGTTTATATCCCCAAGTACAAACAGATGGATCAGCTGCTGGCAAACTGAAATTTAAGGAAGTAGCAGCAACACTACTCTGTTTCTGCATAACCTCCAATATAGATGGGTTTTGGTGGGTTTGTTTTTGGGTTTTGGTTTGGGTGTTTTGCTTTATTGGGTTTTTTTTCAGCAAGAAAATTACTGGGAGTCAGCACAAGCTATTGACCCACTTCATCATCCACTTTAACAAAGAAAGATTTCTTTTATACTACAATAAAAGCAGAAAAGGAATACAAACTACTGCCTATGGAGCTGTAACTTCTTTCCAGTCTTATTAAATATCCTTACTTTTCAAGTGGAATGGCTGACAAACACAGAGCTCCCTTACATCATCAAATGAACATCACCAATTTCTACAGCTGATGCTTGGAATAATTAAAGTTATGCATCTGTCCTTGCCCTCACACTTAATAGCTGCTTTTACTGGGACTAAATCCTGTGTTACAGCTTACAAAGATTATACCATGCAGGTGTGACCAAAGAATCTGGTAGCCTTAACCAGTATGAGTTACTTACACACTTCCTGTGGTGGAGCTGCTGTCCGTGAGGAAGGAGCCATTGGTCCTTTCCATTTGCGCGAGCCTGAAAGGCACGGAAAGATGAGGACTTTCAGAGAACATACTGCACAATTTAAACAAAGGCAGTGTGAAGATCACATCTACTTAGAAACAGTTCAGCTATGGTAATCTTTGTGTACATGAACAGGAATAAACTTCTAAGACTTTGTGACAAAAACCTATAATCCAGAGGACTTTTATGACAAACTTGTGCTATGATTAACTGATTGTACTTGCCAAACAACTAAGAACAAATATATTTTCTCTCTCTAGTATAATTATCATTAGCATCACCACACCTCTCATGGCAAAATTAGTTAAAGAGATGTTTCCACAGATGGTCTTCTTTTTGAATTTTATAAAGCTGGACTGACAAAAGAGGATGAATACTTTTTACATATAGCACATGCAACATCTAAAATTACACTTGGCAAATAACATCACACTGTGGGCAGATAAGTCCTGGAAAGCAACACAAAAAGCTGTGTAATTACAGGGAGTCAATGCCTATGGTACCTCATTTTGGAAGGAATTAATCTAAAAGGTCTGCATTATTACACTGTATTTATAATGCCATGCAGCTCTTCAAAATCACAGCAGAAATTTTCTACTTTTTCAGTTTTCTAGGAAAGATATAGTTTATGTATGTAAGACACATAAATAAATATCTAGGAACACTCAGTGCTGTGCACCTATATTGGACTGCATCAAATACAGCTTTTTCCTTTTGAGATATCTTAACGTCAAACATATTTTTGAAACTGTGTTATGCATTAATATAAACATCTTCAAACTTCGTTTTGAAAGCAGTGGGCAAGACCCTAAAGAAATAGAAACTCTGGTGTCTTCTTTTAGCATGGAGCAAGCTTGCTCATCTGTACATTTGTTAAAATTCCTCAGGGTTGAAGGAGGATAAATGACAGCACAGGCAGGATGAAGTAGTCTTGGTTGCCTTGTCCCGTTATGGCTGGAGAGGGATGTTGTGCTCCAACACCTCCCCTGAAGGGAAGAACAAGCTCCTAAGTGACTGGAGACATTCAGATCATCTCTGCTCCAGGGCACCTCAAACAGATTTAGCCCATAGTGAGTAACATGCTTACAAGCCATCTTTGTAATGCTGCTTAGCTCAGTCAGCATCTTTAATACTTTGATAAAACATGGTTTTCAAAATTAATCTTCATAGCCCTATTGCCATATAGGAATACACTACAAAACCCAGTATTTTTCAGAGAGGAGAGCCTGCCCTGAATCTCTTTGCAAGTAATAGATATCCTGACTCACAAAGGCAGATTCTAATGTTATGATCATGGTTTTGATCTCCATCATTTAGTGAGGATTTGTTTGGAATAGCATGTGAAATCAGGCATTAGCCCTGATCTGGGAGCAGAGGAAGAAAGCAAAAGGCCTTCAAGGCAGAATAGAAACTGAAAGCTGAAAAAAGGAATTAGAAGCAGCTCAGAGATGACACAGCACAACTGAACAAGGAGACAGTACTTGATTGCAGGTAGGGGACTTTTGTCAACAGAGAAGTGAGGGTTGAATGTTCTTAAATCAGTGACAATAAAGGTTTTAAGCTCTAATATATTGCTTCAGATGGGCACAGTCTTATAGGGAATTCCTGGTGATATTTGTTGAAAGAAGCTTAGCTGAAAAGATCAGGACAATAAAAAGTATTTAATAGTTTATATGTGAAATATGCAGAGGAGGAGAGGGAAAACAGATATTACAGCTAGGATCTCTAGAAAGCCACAGTACTGTGGCACCACAGGCTGAAAAAAGGACATACAGAAAGAGAAAATTCTTGCATTTTTCTAAAGAAGTCTAATTTATTTGCTCCATGAGTTTTAATTGATTACATGGCCTAAGTTATATATTCAAAGAAATGCTGGGTTATTTATATGAATGACATGTTCCAAATAATTGAAATGCACTGCAACTTTGCCTTTAGCAATGTATTATGCTACTAATGAAGGGTGAAAATATTCTTTGTCGGAAACAAAATTCAAAATGTTGAGGCTGACAGTAGGTAGACGTTCAGCATTAGTTCCTGCCCCATTTTTCTCTTGCAGCAAAGACCCTGTGTTGGGTACGCTAGATATTTAACAAACTGTTTTGAAGCTTTCTTACAGTGCCCATAAATGGGAATTCAGTTAACTTAAATATAAGCTCTGAATTTTTCTTCAAGAAGCTGAAAAGTGAACACTGTTTATTAGTTGTGGAGATCTGATAGAACAATAAAAACACCCAAAGCAGAACCAAGTCAGTTCACGTGGCTCAATTTTTTTGTTGCCTAAAAGTTAGGTGGTGTTACTTAGTTTTGAGAGGGTAGCTCTGCTTAGTGCTTAACCAGCTCTGAATGTACAGAACTGAGTTCAACAAAACCCAGAAGCACTCATATGGACTTGGCATAATAGATATTTTAGCATGAAAGGACTAGGGTGATCCCATAAAAACTAGAACATAAAAGATCTGTAATTATTATAGGCTCTGCTAAAAGTCAATGGTAATGGATAGTGTCAGTCTGTCATAGAAGAAAATTATAACCTGGGTCTAAAATCCTACAGGGAAAAAATATATATCCAACAAGTTCCATTTATTTCAAAGGCTAAAAAAGAAGAAAATAAACAACATGTTTTAGAAGAATGCACAATAATTCTGCAACACATTTGGTGTGACAGATGACAGATTTACCTATTTTATGCTTAATATGACTGTATTCAGAAGCTGATGATTTAAAAACATTTGACTTAATTCTGAGTGCAGAGAATTGCATCTTTTTGATAAATAATGTCCAGCCAGTAGTGTATATTAAAATCTGCAGGAATCAATCACAAAATACAGTGTACTAATAACAAACTGTGCATCTCTTACCTACTAGCATACTGCTCTATCCTGGAGTGTGTGTCATCATGAAATAGCTGTGGAGACTGGGAAGGACTAGGTTAAACAAACAAACAAACAAATTAGCAGTTTCTAACGCAATTAATTATATGGACAACATTATTTTTTAAGTTAGACTGATGACAAATAAATAAATTCACATTTCTGAGAGGGTTATTCTTTTGGATCAGGCATGCCCTGTAGCTCATGCAAATCAGGTTAGCAGTATTTGACCTAAAGAAAACCACTGGTATACTAAACTTTTCAGACAAAGGGGTTCTGCATACTCACTCATATTGCTCTGGCCACATACTGATGAGAGTGATAGGACTGTAAGGAAGACAAAAAAAAAAAAAAAAAAAAAAAAAAAGAAGAGAGAAAGAAAGAAGGAAACTATGAAACAAACACTTCAGTGCCATTTAAGCAAGAGAAAGCTGGAGAAACACGAAATATTTTAACCAGCAACCCACCCACATTGTTTGAATAGGCACCTACTGATGCAGAAAAGAGACAGCAATAGTGCCGTGTATCATGGAGAGACAGGAGATTGACTTCTTATTGTTAAATAAAAATCAATTTTTAAAAACCCCACCAAATCAGTGCTATTCATTGAACTGTGGTTCGTAAACCATTATCAGTCCATTTAAATTCTAGTCAAGTATTGGACTTTCTTTTTAAACTAACTAGAAAATATAGTTACAAAAACATATTGAGGGAAAAAAACAACCCACAACCACCAACAAAACCCCTCAATGTTATATTCCTACTGCACAACAATCAACAACATTATTTCTATATTGTACATGTTTCATTGCATTATGACACTTAGGTAACTATTTAGGTTATATTTAGGTTTTTATATTATTTAAAGGAACATATTACTGTGTTTTGCCACCTGCAGGGGAGACCAGCAGTTTCCATAGCATGATGCTGGCAATTTATCTGCATATTTCTCACATGTCTGGACCAAGAAAGTTTCATTCTGACCTGTAATTATAGTTTTGACATTCCAGTTTCTGGCAGCAGTGGCAAACTTTCATCACATCACAGCTTTTCTTTGTTGGCAGCAACTGAAGTGAGCAACATTTTAAAGTCTGAATGTGTGTTGCTTCCCTAGAAGCCAGGCCATCCATCAACAATGCCAGTTTTCTGATTACTTCCTCCTGTTTCTTAAACCACTAATGAGCAGGGTTTGTTTGCTTATTGTAAATAAAATGCACAATTCTCAGGTCATGAAAATGGAGCGTGGACCAGGGCACTGAGCTGTCACATGCAAGGAGAGCACATACATTGCAGCTTCACCCTCTCTGTCGCTAGCTAAGCAGTGCTGTGTTCAGACCATACAGCAGTACTGCAGACTCCTGGATTTCAAGACACTCAATCCATGGAACTACTTCTAGCATCCTGTCAACACACCTTAATTTAGCTATTTTAAGAGTGACCTTTGCTTATAACTACCAAGTAAGTAAATCAAGTGGAGTATTTCTGCTGGCACCATAAGTAATACTTTGGAGACACTGAGAGTGCTCTCTTTTACTAGGCCACCTGTATTTCTGAAGGCTGTAGCAATCTAATTAGCTAAGATATTTTTAACTCCAGAGATTCTGAGACAACAAAAGAAGCACTACAGTTCCAAAAGCCCAGTCTCCTCAGAGCTACAGAACTTTTCTCTGTAAAACAGCCATTCAGCTCTCTCCAACATTACCTGCTCAAGTCCATGCCTTTATGAGAAAATGCTTACAAAAATCAAAACATAAAATATGTTACTTTTTTTTCCCCTAAAAAAACCCAGGAAAGATCTACAAATAATATGAAACAATTCATAGAAAATAACACAGCAGGAGGCTTTGCAACTGCTGACAATTCTTTCTCAGGTTTCACTGTTCTGTTTTTAATGGAATAGGCCAGTGACCCCAGGAGCCATTACTCTATAATCAAGCTTACGTCTCCAGGTTGTCACCCTCCAGCACTGTTTGCACAGGCAGGTAGCCAAGCCGGGGATGCTTTGCGAAATACTTCTTGGACCGGAACTTATTCTTCAGCACCTTCGTGAAATCCCGTACATCTTCCCCAGATGTTGTCTTAAAAAGTTACAAGAAAATACATTGAACATTGCTAAATAGCATTGAAAGTATAGTGCTGCTGTTGTCCAGAAAAAGGATACAAGAAAGAACTATAAACATGTTAATGATGTGAAAAAAGCCTTTTCAGTGTCCCAAAATACGGTACCATTAGAACAGTAATGCATCTACAAATTATCTTCTATCAGAAAAAAAAAATCAGCACTGCTTCAAATTCCCAGCAATAAATGCACTACATTTACTGAATACTTTATACATTAGAGAAAAATCAAAACAGTTTCAAGTCTTCAGGTAAACATTTACAACCAGTCTTACAAAATAGAAAACAATTTTTCAAAAAAGAAGAAAAAAGGGTAAATCAGTTTATAAGAAGCTACTCTTAGCCACTGAATGCAATCTCAGCACTACACTCATATAGCTGAAAAAATACAGTTAATACTAATGACTTTGGCTAAAAAAACACCAACCTAACACAGCCCTTTATATTCACACAAAATATCCCCTGCCTCCCATTCTCTACCTAAACTGGAAAACTTTATCACAAGACTACATGGTAAACCATTCTCTGTTGCAATAGCAAAGTTTTTAATGAGCATTTTCTCAAGTTATCTGATCTCTTTCTACAGGTTTCTGCCATTATCTTTATAATTCCAGGGTCTGTCAGCCCTTATCCAGGCTCTCATCAAAGGCATAGCCAGAGGCAGGCCTGATAAGAACAGTTAGTGTGTGAAGTAACATACCCACAGACCGATTCTGTTGTTTCCTTTTGAATGCAGGATAAAACAAGTAGAAAAATTAGCCACAAGACTCTTCAAGTCTAAATTTACAAGTTGCAACTCCCATCATCACCCAGAGGTTTTTTTTTTAATGGTCCTCACTGATGCAGCCTCTTCCAGAAACCAAGTGATCACTCCCATCCCTAACCCCCACAAGAAGTTATTTATGTTCTTTAGAACAGACTTAAAATCGGTGCAACTGCTTTTAAGAAATCAATTTAACTGGAAATAGCCACAGCAACAATGGCAGCACTGCTTTGGTAATACTATTCAGTTAACTTCTGCTACAAAAACAGGGATACAAGTAAAACATGCAGGCATGAAATACAAGGTGAAAACAGCAATAAAGAGATATAAGAGTATATTTTAAGCCTTTAGAGTATATTTGCTCACAAACTGTACCGAGAACTTAAGCAGAATGCTTCTCACCACATATAGCAGTTACTAGTAAGCATTTCCTCTTGTAACTGCATTACCGAAAGTGGCCAACAACTTCCCGCATTAGCTGAAGATTTGCAATAGCAAACGGCAGATTGTATTTCTGTACCCCTCTGCTCTGGGAAAAGCTTGTTAACATAAAAGGATGCCAAAGCAGATGACTATCCATAGGGAGAACAGAGTTAAAGACTTTTCAGTTTTGTAAAGTTTTTCTATCACACACTACAAAGAGGTCTAGAAGCAAGTCAGGCAAAATATTGTTTAATTTTGCTCTCTGTTCTCAAAAAATAAAAATACTTCCCTAGTCACATACATATTTTAATGTATGTGTAATACATGTAGTTGCACACTCTGTAATGCAGATTAGATGAGCAATAAAAATTGTGGATAATCACATTGATGTTGGTAAGAGTTTCACGTCCGGCTTTAACAAGTAATAAAAAACTGAGCAAATTTGAAAATAAGAGGTGTTTGAACCCTCAATTTTTTCGCACAGGTAAATTCAAGGAAGTCTCACAAAATCACTCAAAAGGCATCTGCTCCCATCACTGCATCAACCAAACAAGGAATGTGAGGTAGCCCAAAGGGCTGCTGCTTCTCACGCAACAGTAACTCCAACAGATGGAACTCTGTCCCATGGCCAAGGAATGAAAGTTTCAGTACCTACACATTGCAAAAATAAATGCTTACTGAGTTCCCAAGCTTTTCCTCTGGTGTATTCTTTATTTAGTGTGATGGCCTGGCCCACTTCCTTGGAACGATTGAGGAAAATAAATACTTACCAGTGAGAATTGAGTAGATTGGGAAGAACTACTTTAATTTACATGCAAATGAGATGCAACTCTTAGAAGTATTTCTTGTATGATTTTTGCTATAACCCCACTACACACAAATTTAAGAAACCAGAATTTACATGGAAAGCAGTGGAGAAAACAGAATATGCTGAGACATGGCTTTGATATGTTGGTTAGTTGGTATATACTTTCAGTATATTAGAATTAGGACAAATCTTTGTTGGGAAAAAGTACTACCAAAAATGTAATACAGCAGTTGGAGAGCTCTAAATCATATGTATGAATTATAATATACATATAGAAAGCATAACATGCAGATAAAGAAGATATAATACTTATATACATGTATTTATTTATCACTATTCCTTTTTTCAAATTAAAAATAGTTAAGTGATAATGAAAGCTCAAAAGTTTGCCCATTCCTTCCACTGCATCCTAGCTGTAAAAGAACTAGTCTGAATCTAAGCCATAATTCCCTTAATTACATTTCTGATATTGTGTTTAACATCAATCCAAAGAGCTGTTCTAATACACTCATGGAAACCGATTCCCAGAAGAGATGTGAACCTCATTAGTAAATGCTGTTATTAACCCCAGCCAGACATTCATGATTACAAGGAAGCTGGAGAGAACTGTACACAGACATACAATACGCACTATAAAGTTCCAAGAGAATATATTTGGTATAATAAAACATGCTCAGTGATGCAAAATTTACAGTATAAAAGAACACCTATGCCATTTTAAAGGACTTATAGAAGCCCTAGTAGAAATACCTCATTTTCCTACCATTTGATACTCTGATAATGCTTTAGTATATCTTAAGTTTTGCAGTTAAAAAAAAAATGAAACAACTTTTTTACATCTCTGTAGTTTTATTTTTTGACATTTTATATATCTGTACCTGACTGTTCTTGATGGAAAACAAAATTCTTAGACCTACTTTTGGTAACAGCTACAATATGCGCAGGTATGATGAAAGCTGCATTTTAAAGAAGCTGTCAGCTAGGTACCACTAGAAGGCTGGGAAACTCCCCTGCATAGGATTTGGGGTGAAAAGATAGATACTTCATTCCTCTTCTTCTTCTTTTTTTTTTTTTTTTTTTTTAATTGACACTTAAGAATGCAATTCCCAATAACTTAAACACATGTTTAAATGCATTCTCCTTCAATGAAGAACAAACTATTTTAAAAAGCATCTCACATCCCTTGATAGTGGCATGAAACAGGATGAGATAGGATACCACAAACATCAGGTTATTAAAGACATAACAACTGTATTTATGGCCATCGCTGCCACATCATTGGTGTTTGCACTGTGTAATATTCTGAAGATTGCCCTTATGTCACCACTTTCAAATAGGGCAATTTCATAGCATTGTCTCACCAAAAGGAGAAACTGATTATAAATTGAGAGGTGTGTATTTTAGTTTACTGCAATGAAATCAAGTTGTAATTTCAAGAGTAACTAACTTACCTCAGAATTTAACAAAATAAGTTTCAAAAGGGTAGCAGATCACATAAGCCAGCTACCAGCAAGTGTGAGACCTAATGGAAAGCACATTGCCCAGCTGCTAGATACCACAAACTATGCTAACCAGATTGCTGTTCTTCTCCAGGCAGAGAGTAATATCTGAACTCCACAGCTGGAAGCAATGCTCTGAATGTGAAACAGCCAGATTCAAACACTCTTGCTGCTTTCTTTCATCTTCCCCACAGAACAAACCCATTTTGATAACAGAAAAGCAGTGTGTTTGGTACCCTGATAAGCATGTTGAGATGAAAACAGTAACTTACTTCTGACAGCTTGTTGCTTTTAAAACACTGAGACTGCTTAATATTCAAGAATGTATCTGTCTTCTCTGGATGTCAGTACCAATTAGATTTTCAGGTGAGTTACCTAGAGGAGAAGTCTTAACAGGCACTATTACAGATAAGCTTTATTGTGCCTGCAAAAAAATTCCATCTAGGATGAACTATCATTCAACCAGTAATTTCTGACACCTTGCCTATCATCTTTTGAGCTCTTTCAGGGAAATAAGATTCTGGTTATCTGGGAGAAGAGGCTCACCTTTGCTGCCATGATTTTGTATAGAAGGGCTACAAAAAAACAAAACAGTTCCCAAAAGAAGGAGCTGTACCAGGTGAGTGTAGTGGCACAGAACTACAAAAACTGATTATACTTTGACTGAGGGCAGGAAGTAAGACTACTTGCAATGAAAAAAAAATAAAATCAGAACTGCAGATTTGATATTTGTACACTACTTTGGAAAAGCTGCTTTTAAGGTTCTACTGTGGAATATAAGAGTTGTGAAGTGGAAACAGTCTGGAGAAAGAAAACTGATGCAGCAACTATTTCCACCTGAAATTCAAAGGAACCGTTGGTACAAAATTCCACATTAATATAACACAGGTATCACTACTGAGAGAATTTCTGTTCAAAAAAAAAGCTAAAAATAAATAATGTATGTTCTTATGTAAGACTATTCCTGAATTAGATACCAGGAAAATATTACAAAATTGTTACACATTAAAAATCACATTTCTCCATTTATTTAGGGAAAGTCTATTAAAGGTGAAAAAATAACTAGAATAACCTTTAATTTCTAATCCTTAGAGACAGCAGTCTTCTCAGTTCCTTACCCATCTCTAAATACTGAATGAAGAAAAGAAGACATAACCAAAATCCTTATTATAAATTTTTGCATTTCCAGCAAAGGAAAGACTATTAAAGGTGAAAAAATAACTAGAATAACCTTTAATTTCTAATCCTTAGAGACAGCAGTCTTCTCAGTTCCTTACCCATCTCTAAATACTGAATGAAGAAAAGAAGACATAACCAAAATCCTTATTATAAATTTTTGCATTTCCAGCAAAAACTGCAAGGTAAGATGAACACTAAGTGGCATTGCAGATCAGGATGCAATAACTACACATAACTAGGGAGTGTAAATATCCTTATTCTGAAATTATTAAGCAATTCTCATCTGATGCAAATATTGCAAAGCTCAGTAAAATATGGAATTGTCGCCTTAAAAATTTAATTTAAAAACAGATTCCTTAAGCTATTCTCTAAATTATTGCAAATTTAAGTAGAAGTAACTGAGCATCTGAGAGATATGAATCCTAAAGTGAACTGCTTACCTGAGGACAATTAAAAGGATTTCCCTCCATCTGTGACTAAGCCCCAGTCCTAAATGCCAGCTTTATTAATCAGGGAAGCATTTTTTTCCCCCTAATTACTGCTAGTATTCTTAAAGTTACCGTATTAATATACTTGAAGAAAGAGAAGCTAGATCTTACTAATGTAGTTTGATGAGTATGTGTATTTGTAATATGCTTTGCAACACCTGCCACAAAAGTAACATTTTAACATAAACAGTCTTTGCATTTGGCTGAAAAGGTAGAGTAGATACACTCTTCCTATTCAGGCTATCTGTACTGTAAGATAATGGATTTTAAGGAACAATTTATTTCCCTTTGGTACCTTCTTTTTGGTTTTGTTTTTCTGTTTTTTTTTTTAACTCACAGACCCAGCTCTTTGCTATTTTGGGGGTATTCTTCCATTTAAACATATAAGCTATTTTACTAACAATGCAAAAAAATTTGCAAATCTTGACTATTATATTGCATTAAATGAGTTTAATATGTAGAGAGGTTTAGTAAAAAATTAGTACACCAACCATAGCACACTATTACAACTAGCAATATTAAGTAAGACTAGATTATTTTTGTGAAATGAATCCTTTATTCCTGACCTAATTCTGATGAGATTAGTTAAAATGGATTGCATGTAGGTATTGATTATGGAATTCAATCAGGCATATAAGAATTCTGTTGATATAATTTCTTCTTCCAGAAATTGAGCTAGCAGAAAGTACTTACAGTAAGACTCAAGAAAAAATTCAACTCCCATATTCAGCATCCAAATTAATGGGGGTCCAGTACCGGACATATAATTTCATGCATCATCTATATTATATTCTACCTCTTTTATTCTGCCCTACTTTAAACTGCCCCAATTTCCTTCCTTCACTTCCCATACACTTACTTTCCTTCACTCACTCTTACTAAGAATGTCATCTTATTCTCCTTATTATTCTACAGTGGATGCACCTCAGTCCTCCCATATTTCATGGGAAGAAGGGACTTCTGCCCTAGGTTTCCTTATTTTGCACTTAATATTGCCTTAAAACTATGTTCTTTTTGCAGCAGGAACAGAAATATTCATTGTAATACAAGCTGTCCCTAGTCCCAGGGACACTGGGGATTGCAGCCATTCCCAGAACATACTTTTCTGTACAACAGGCTTTACTTGTAAATGAAAATGGCTTACACAGTTACATAATGTGAACGTGTTTAACAAGAACTGAGAATTTCTCTCAGATATCAAATGTGACACCTCGGACAAAACCCAGAAGTCATAAGAAACATACCATCCTCTTACACTTCCCAATATGTATTTGACTAATGCCACAGGAAGGGTATCTTATTCTGTGGACTGGTGGCATTATCTATTTTGACACATCTTACACCTGCATTTCTGATTTTTTCTGTATATTATAGGAATTAGAGAGCATTTCTGTTCTATGACCATGATATAAACTAAAGCTTAGGTTTGAGGGAACATCATAAGGAGAAGAAAAGTTAATCTAAGAAAAATACATCTCAAGCATGCTCAGATTGCTTGGGTTACAACAGTTAAGGAGGAAAGTAAACAGTGTCACCATATTTTTAATTATGTTTAATGAAGAAAAGAAACACAGTAGAGCTCCAGATCCTGAGGATTAGAACCTAAGTAACCTAAGTTACCTAAGTATAGGCAAAACTGGGCCTGTGTCATGCCATTAAAACAGTATAAAACAAAGGCAGACAATTACTTAGCTGTGAGCAGGAATATTTAAAAAGGAAATTAAACTTCAACCCAAAGTAATTTTAAGCATTAAAGATTCTAAGAATCAACTCTAGAATTCAGAAAAGTACAGTATTTTTTTTTTACTAGGTATTTTTAGAAATTAATCTCATAGCTGAAAACATAATAAGACTTATTACTTCTACATTCTAATGCAAATAAGAATATAAAATCACAGTATCACAGAATCTTAGGGGTTGGAAGGGACCTTGAAAGATCATCTAGTCCAACCCCCCTGCCAGAGCAGGATCACCTAGGGCACATCACACAGGAACTTGTCCAGGTGGGTTTTGAATGTCTCCAGTGAAGGAGACTCCACAACCTCTCTGGGCAGCCTGTTCCAGGGCTCTGTCACTCTCACAGTAAAAAAGTTTTTTTCTGATGTTTAAGTGGAACCTCCTATGTTCCTGTTTGCACCCATTGCCCCTTGTCCTTTCACTAAACATCAATGAAAAAAGCCTGGCTCCATCCTCCTGACGCTTGCCCTTAACATATTTGTAAACACTGATGAGGTCGCCTCTCAGTCTCCTCCGAGCTAAAGAGATCCAGCTCCCTCAGCCTTTCCTCATAAATGTTAGCATGGGCTTTGCTATACCTTGAAATCTGATAGTTAGTCATGCCCATGACCCATAATCATGTCCAGATCCCTGACCTACAGAGTATGGACTAAATCCTGACCTGATATCTGTTTTATATAGACTTGCCAGCTCCAACTATTAAAAAATTAAAATCATTTAAGATTCGTTAATATTAGTTGTCTTTTTCTTAATACTCGAGAAGGACGTACAAATCAGGTATGCATTTATGAAACAACAGTTAATTGTTTTTAGGAAAAATCAGCATTATCTATGTAGTCTGCTGTAGATAGATATCCTCAGGTCAATGGTCAATGAAATTGCTAAACTGGGCTTCCAGTCACTTCATATACAAAAAAAACAGTGTTACCAATCAAATAATTTCAGAAAGAAGAAATCAAACCCACAGAAAGATTCACAGATATAAATAGAGACTTTCTGATGATCAAAAAAATAAATAAATAAATCAACCCTGTTGTACAAATAAAGTTATGGGCCAGGCAATACTTCGAATTATGCCAAGGACATTTCTATGCCTAGGCAGCAGTACAGATGGAACATATTACTGCACATCTTCAGTTGCAGTCAGAAAATATTAGACTGCATGTTAAGAAACATGTAAAATCTGTAGCTAAAGCAGATGAATAATCTGTATTGCAAAAAAATATTATAGACTGATTTTACTGATTTATCAATCAAATCTTAACATTAGGTTATAGGATTAATGAAAATTAACATGACTTATGGTTTCATCTGCTACTAACAAAGTGAAAAACACTACTTAATAGAATTTCAATTCTGTTACGGGAGACACATTTGATGAAAAAGAGTGGGTAATAAGCCCAACTTATTCAGTAAAAACAGTCAAATACCTCAATGATTTTTTGTTAATAAAAGAACGCACAGAACCTAGTAACACTAGTGGAAATCAGCTCTAGTTACATTCTGGTCTGAATTTGTTTTGCTGAGCATACCAGGCCATTCACTACTGCTGTTTAAGTTACATATCAAATATGCTATTAATTTTTTTGTGACTGAGTTATAATTCTTAAGAATGGAAACAGACTTTTTTAAAAAGTGAAGGTGGTATTTGTATGAAGGAAGCTACCCACTCCTCCACTTCAAGTCTCCTAGAAACTTCCTTAGAAAAATAGTGTTTGAAATTCCATTAGGAAAATGTTGTGTTGTAAAATTAATTTATGTTTGCTGTTACAAGCAAGCTTCTCACACCATTTTTGGTTAGAAACTGCCAAGTCTGCTTGTTTTTTTCCAGCTACACATCAATTTTTAAACGTCCAAGTAAACAGTAATTACTCTGGGGAATAAAACATGACATATTTCCAACCACATTTTCATGAAGCAAGCAAAATGTTGCTTTCGAACATAAATATTACACACCTTAAAAAATATTGAAGCACATTTGTAGAATATGATATATTCTTTACTATGGTACAGTAATAGTAAAGTGTGTCCCATTCCTCTGACATGTTCTCACCCTTTTAGTGTATGGATGTGTGCAAGTATACAAATATTGCAATTATAGTTAATATTCCAGCTTTGTTTTTATTTAAAAAAAAGAAAAAAAAAAAAAAAAAAGATGAAGGTCAAGTTCTCTCAAAGGTGGATACTTCTACACATTGCTATAGAATTCAACCACTCCCCCATCAGCACAAGGAAAGACCTTGATGACTTCCAAAGAGAAAGGCAGGAAGACATGCCCAACCAAACATATGAAAAAGAAATCCTAGCAGATTATTTAGGTGACAAGACTATGAAAAATTTACACCTCAAATAACGCAACACCAATCCCTTAGGAACAGTCAGTAAATTGGTACTCACAGGTATACAATACTCCACCATTGGGTAATGCAATTTATGCCCCTTTGCTGTACGGCCAGAAAAGAAGCAGCTCTGACAGACATCATAGTTGAAATGTTTTAAGCTCCGGTACCTACAAAGACATTACATAAAGTGATTAGAGTTTCCTAGGTTTAGTTCTAATATTGACCTGTTATTAAGCTTTACAAGGCAAATTACTCCCTGAAATGGTGTCATGTGCTTTTCAGCAGTACCAACACAAGGACATAGGAAATTTGTTGGTTTAGAGAGTACCTTGAAGTGTGTGGGTGTGCTTGCCCAGGACATGGCACAACCAACACTCACCATACCTACAGACCCAGGGGCACTGGTGCCACTGAAACTGCTGTACAGGACACAGGAAAGCCACAGCCCTCTTAGTCCACTCCACACAACCTTCATACACTACACAGGTCATGTCACTGAGTATTTAAAATAAATGCCTGCCCCCTGTAGCCATACAGAGAGCCAATGTCAATCGTCTGCTGCTCAAGTCACTTTGAAGCAGAAAACTTTACAGGCATCAGCTTCGTAGATGGAATGTGAAGAGTTTATAATTTTAAGGTTCAAATTGACTTAAACCTGTATGGCTTTATTAGCATGCAGATGGTATCTCAGAATAAAATATTAATTATAAAACAGACTAGTTTATTTTTCTATTTTACATCATTTCGATGCTCAGAAATTCCAACATTTTTCAGAAAATAGAACTCTTAAGTATTCATTAATAAAATAAAGTTTAAAAATTGCATTGATTAATTTAATTCTGGGTTTTTTAAGAGCATGTATATGTATAAACAAAGTAACAAAATTATACAGTATACTTTGTATGAAATGTAGCCACCAGGAGCATGATTTTTTTCAACTAAAGTTGACTAAAGCAACAATACAACTCCAGATTCCACCCACGGATGAGGTTATATGTTTTGTATGAAACTAAAATAAGCTAATGGAACCAAACTGAATAGCTATGGAATAAAGTTTAAATTAAATTGCTTCCTGAGAGCAGATTTCAGTACCAATCTACATCTTTCCCCTGCTGAGTTTTATGGTTTGTTTTGCAAGACAATATGTGTCTATAAATGTAAAGGTTCAGTTCTAAGGATGTTGATGCAAATGTTTATAATCTTTACTCAGAGCCTATATATTAAATGGCCACATCTACCTTCTGCTAAGATGTTAGATGCTTTTGTTGTAGAATATTTCTAACTTCACTGTAGAAATTAGAATGAGCTACTCTTTTGTCCTCTTTTCTCTTCTTTTCCATTTCTTTGCCCTCCTTCACTACAGAAAATATTTCAGTACAGACAAGATTAATTAGCCCCAATTTAGGCATCTCAATTTATCTGAGCTGGAGCTCTGTCACCCTATACCCCCACAAGAGTTAATTAAGAAAGATAAGTAAGAGCATTTAGAGGAATTTCATCTCCTCTTAAGACAGGCAACTACATTTGACCAGATTAATTACTTTTAGAAATATTCACATATCTTTATTTATAGTAAAATAAGAGCATTTCTAGCTCAATCTTATAATGCTGACTAAAGGCAGTGTGCCTAAAGCTAGGTGAGATGAATCAGACCTCAAGATTCATATTCTTATCCTTTAAAAAGAATGGAGGAGAAGAAAAAGCATACAAAATGAAAATTACTCATCTTCCTAGATATATAAAATCTTAGAATTATTTACAGGAAATACATTGTACTTCATGACTCAACTTCATTATATTTTGTTGTGGTTGTTTGTGTTATTTTGTGGGTTTTTTTTGTTTTGTTTTTTTTTGGTTATTTTTGGGTTGGGGGGGTGTTTTTTGGTTATCATTTTCTTTGAGGGTGACAGAGCACTGGAACAGGCTGCCCACAGAGGCTGTGGAGTCTCCTTCTCTGGAGATACCCAAAAGCTGCCTGGATACAATCCTGTGTAATGTGTGATCCTGCTTTAGCAAGGAGTTTGGACTCCATGATCTCTAGAGGTCCCTTTCAACTCCAATGATTCCATGATTCTGAGGTTTTACACAGTGGAGCAACCAGTTCACAAACGCATGTTAGTTGTCATGATGATAATTCATAGTAAAATCACAAGGTTAGGTGGATAATATAGAGAATATCCCTGGTGTAATTTTTTTCCTCTAGAATTTACAGCTTCCTTTGAACAGATGAAAGTTAAATTATGTTTGATGCTTTAGATGGGAACAATGCAAGTCTCATCACAGTAATATATCAATGTTTGTGCTAAGCAAGAAAAGATTGATGTTGAAGGGTGTTTAGTATTTCCTGTCATAAATTAGTTTACCAAGCCTTAGACAGGAGAGCAGATAGTCCACATTTTTTCTTACTGATCAACTCTTTTTGGTTATGTGCTTAGAGAACACATGGAGTGCATTTATACTTCAATTGCTACCTATTGGATCCACCAATGCCAAGACACTGGATGACAGCCCACCCTGCATCCAGGTGGGTTTTGAATATCTCCAGAGAAGGACCCTCACCATAAATAAGTTTTTACTCATATTCTAAATGGAACTTCCTATGTTCCAGCTTATGCCCATTGCCCCTCATCCTGTCACTGGGAACTACTGAAAAGAGTCTGGCTACATCCTCCCTGCACCCACCCTTTAGATACTTAAAGGCATTAATAAGGTCTTACCTCAGCCTTCTCTTCTCCAGGTTAGAGTCCCAGCTCTCTCAGCTTTTCCTCATAAGAGAGATGCTTCAATCCCCCAGTCATCTTTGTTGCCCTCTGTTGGACTCTCTCTAGTAGTTCCCTGTCTCTCTTGAACTGGGGAGCCCAGAACTGGATGCAGTATTCCAGATGTGGCCTCATCAGGGCAGAGTAGATGGGGAGGATGACCTCTCTTGACCTACTGACCACACTCTTACTTATGAAACCCAGGATTCCATTGGCTCTCTTGGCAACAAAGGCACACTGCTGGCTCATGGATAATTTACTATCTACCAGGACTCCCAGATCCTTCTCCTCAGAACTGCTTTCCAGTAGGTCCACCCATAACCCATATCAGTACCTGGCATTCTTCCTCCCCAGGGACAGGACACTACACTTGCCCTTGTTGAACCTAATTAGGTTCTTCTCTATCCAATTCCCCAACCTGTCCAGGTCACAATGGATCGCAGCACAGCCCTCTGGAGTGTTAGCCATTCCTCTCAGTTTTGTATCAACAGCAAACATGCTGAGGATACACTCCATCTCCTTGTCCAGGTTGTTGATTAATATGCTGAACTAGACCGGACTGAGTACTGACCTCTGGGGGAATGGAACCTTGCACCCAACATCCCTCCTCTTACCTAAAGCCAACAATTGGACACTCTTTACAGATGTTGCACTTGGCCTGATGTTTTGCAGTTTCTGCAGCTGCCACACGGTGTAGAACTGGTAGCCATACCATAGACTGAGGCTCTAAGCGCATCCAATCTATAAATTGCTTTACAGTTATTTCTGGCTTATTATGGTTCTGTGGAGAGAAGAAACAAACACACCCAAATTAAAAAAATAAATAAATTATATAAACCCAAAACACACACAAGCAGCTTTTCCTTCAACTTCAACTAAAATAACTAAACCTGTGTCAATCCTTTCCATGCCACGTTAATGTAAAACCAGTTACAGGACATAAAGAGAAGCCTAAATTAAAATGCAAATAAAGAAAATAAGGTAGTCAGTAAGAACGTAGAGGACTAAATAGCTGTGATAGAAGAGACAGATGTAACAAAGATGGAGCACATAGTAAAGAAGTAATGGAGTCCACTCTAAAAACATCTTTGAATTGAAAGGGACTGAGAAAGTAAGGGAGCACAAAAGGGAAGCACTTCCTGCAGTTCACTGTCACACTGAAGACATGGTTGGTTTTTGTATCAAGATCAAAACTAAACTGCTAAAAGTCAGTAATGCTTGCATGCATCTACTAGCGGCCATGAGACTTGAGCAATGCTTTTTTTTTGTATTCAGAGCCCATTGTATTCTTTGAAGCTAGCCTATTAGGCAAACACACAAATAAATAGATAAATAAATAAATAAATAATGAGA